TTGGAAAAGGAAATATAATGGTAATTTATTAACGTGTTTATTTAAATATGAGTTAGTTACGTTTAAGTAAAAAAAATCTATGTGAAATTGTGAATTATAGTTGATGTAAAATAAAATAATGGAAGATTATATTTTAAAGTAGTAACTTTACATATTTACCAAAAGAAATCTGTAAAGAAATTTTGAGATTTTAACAATAAAAGTAATCTCAATTGATTTTTTTTTTTTGTTAGATTACCAAGATTGAGACGTAAGAATCACTGGACTTCTGACTAGGAAAGAAAAAAAAAAAGGAAATGTGATTTCTTGCACTATTGGGTAAAGTATTGTCAGGATTTATAGTCATTATGATGAAACACTTTTTTTTTTTTTTTGGGTTAAATTATTATGATGAAACATATCTCTAAACTTTTTTTCAAGATAATAAATAGATGATGTGCATATGAGAAAAACGCGATTTTAAAAGAGTTAACAAAACTAGTAAATGATGTGCATTTTTTTTAAGAAGATTTTATACGATTATAATCAATGGTAGTTGTAAACTTATTTTTAATGAGTTTCTAAAAAATTAAAAACAATTAAATAATACACAAAAAACTTAAGAATATCAATAAAATGTCATAATTTAAGAGATTTACAACTCTAAAATATGGGGTTCTAATTAACACAATACAATTTATAATAAAAAAATCACTTAGCATCCCAACTTAACAACTACCATTGATTATGCTCTAAGGTTGTTTCAATTACCAAAAAGTTTATTTTAAGTTTTTGAAGGTAAACAAAACCTATAATCGAATCTACTCAAAGTGAAAAAAGACAGAATCCAAAAACTTCTTATGTTCGAAACCGTACACGCCCCCGACCCTGAGGATAGGCCCAAGAGGCATGGGTTTTGGACCCCCAAAATTTTTAATTTTTTAATATTAAAAATAGGCTTCGGAATTTTTTTTTTTTTTTTAAAACATCCAAATTAAAAATCTATTTATAAACTCCTTAAATTTTTTTTTTTGGTTTAGGACCCCATAAATTTCAGGACTGGCCCTGACTGTACATGTTTGTAGAATAATCGATCCCCATTTAAAAGTTCCCTTAGTTGATGATAAAATTAACAACGAACTTAGAACATTCAAGTTTACCATGAGACGTTAATTTTAAAGGAGGTACAACACATCCAATAACTAAGGAAAATAGTTCACTTAATGTTCTTCTAGTATGTATATTTTCCCCACAATGTATATTTGTGTACGAAAGAATATTAGCTTTTATTTTGTTTGGTAAACTAATAAACACATAAATTGCAAATGAAATTATCGATGATTGACTAGCTTATATGGTAATATGGACTGAACTAGTGACTAAGCAAGGTTGTTGCGGATGGTATTGACGATCTTCGGTAGAACAGCTTTATAGGCTTTTTCAGAAGGATGAGCAAAGTCCCAGAACACGTGACTAGCCGAACTTAAGCATGGAACCGGGGTCATCACCGAGCAACAACATGGTATTGCCGTTGTAAACCCTGAAATTTATTTTATAAATATTTAGCACCTTTAGTTTGATCTAACCCATAGATATTCAAAATTAGAGAGTGTTAATCAATTTACCATATTGTCCAGGATTATTAATGATATCAAGAAGTGGGTTATACATATCGATGTACACGAACTTGGCATCGGGGAGATTTTGGCCAAATTTATCGACCAAGCTTGATACTTTTTGATTATATAGTTTAGCACCGTAGTTGACATGAGGAAGACATATCAAATTTCCGCTCATTTGTCTTGCCCCTGGCAAACATCCTAATGGCAATGTTCCAAGAACCGCAAATTTTCTTGCTCCCAAATCATATAGACTCTGTTATCATATCAAATCATAATAATAACTAATATGAAAAAAGCTATATAGCCAAAACAAAAAATTAAGAATTAATTGTAAACTGTTTTGTATACCTGCAAGAACGTAGTTTTCCAACCTATGAGCATATCAGTGTATGTGTCGATATTGTATCTTGATATCCTAGCCGGAGTTGAAAAATATGTAATGGCGATATCGTTATTTCCAGTAGAGATTAAAATCACAGCATTGGCTATAATCTTTTTGACTTGAGCAGGATCTCCAATTTCTTTGCTTAATTTTTCTATGTATTTTTGGAAGTCTACTACCTGATCTTGTACCCATATAACCCCCTATATTGGATTAAGATTAGTGCAAATTTAATTAAGATAGCACTATATCATATTTTTTCATATTGTAAGTAATAATTAACATATTTTACCTGTATAGATGCAGTGGTTTTGTCTAATCCTGAACCACCAGACGCAAAGCAAACTCCGGTGGATAGTTCACTTGATTTAAGTAATGGGCTACGGAAAGCTGGTAAAAGATCTTTTATCCCTAATTCCGCCACTACATACACATATATCAAAAAAAAAAAAATTATAGCTCATTAGGTTAAAGAATTTGAACTTTTTTGTTTCTGGTTTAGTTGTATAAAGAACAACATAATACCAACTAAATCTGATAGAACTTTTCCATTCCCGAATCTTCCAGTAGGCAAATGAAAAGGAAAATCGCGTCCATATGGCAGAAAGTTGCTTCTCGACAATGTCATAAGCAGATTGTTGTTACCAGTATCGAGAATTGAATCTCCAAATGCAATAACTGCTGGAAATCCTCCATTTTGTATAGCTTGAACATATGAGAACCATAAAGCTAGAAATACTAGTAGAACTTTAATAGCTGTATTTTCCATCTCGAAGAGATTATTACTAAGTATGTTTTTTTTTAATATGGATACAACAATTATTTTTGGGGGTTTTGTTTTTTTAAAAAAAAAATTACTCTATTGACTTACATTGATTTATATACAAGTGAAGGGTTGAGAGAATTCATCGAGTCCCTTGAAGAATGGTATGAAACTTGTTTATTTTCATGGTTAAACGAGCACTCCCACTTCTATCATTAGACTGATTATATATTTAGCTAATCCAGCAAATCAAGTCTTACCACTCATATTTATTCAATTGTTTGAATATGTTTTATCTTATCGTTGATGTGGAATTCAAGATGATTGCGTGTTTAGGTCATATTGTCTAGCGATGGATTGATCTTGGAAAACCATGAGACAAATGATGAAAATTTCTCTTAAAGTCAATTAATATTTTATAGAGTGACTTACAATAATTTTAGACATTTGATTATAGAGAAATTTCAAAAAATGCCACTTTTCAAGTGTCATATTATAAAAATGTCATATTTTTGAAATCTTTACAAAATGCCACTTTTTCAAAATTATTTTTTCTTTATATTATTTATTAGGGTTTAGTTACGAGGGTTTAAGGAGGTTTAGGGGTCAAAACATTTTTTAGTGTTTAAAATTTTAAGATATATGGTTTAAAAATC